ATAAATATTAGAAATAACGAATTTTTTTCTTTTAGTGCAGGATAAAGGAATAAGGAACAGATATGGAATTTCTAGCAAAGCGAAAATAATTGCTATTCACGGAAAAATTTCAACGAACTTTAAAGTTGAATTGTAAATAAAATCGATTGCCACAAATTAGATCAAAATCGGTTAATTTGTTCGAAAGATATCTAATTTTTACAAAATCATCAAACCATGGTTTTTAATATTATTTTTCGGTTATTTATCAGAACGGATTTCTTTCTGAGAATTTTTGTAAAGCTCTCGTAATCACACTAAATATCGCTGAGCGTTCTAAAATCGAATGATTTGTCCGAAAGTTATAGGTAGCTTAACTAAGACATTACGTCATACTCATTATTGCGATAATCATTTTTAAGCGTAATTTAGTTTGATTTGCGAGTAATATTGCTGAATTTTAATTATTATTAGGTTTATTATTTTGCGTTATTTGCAATTATTATTATTAAATCTTGATTGATATCGCAGGTATTATTTTCAAACGCGAATCGCATTTAGTATTATTAAATTTTGGTTATTGTTAAAATTATTATTTTTCATTGCGATTATTATTATTCTCGAACACAATATTATAAGTTAAGTTAAAGAAAAAGTTATATGTATTAATCAGAACTCCATAAAGGATTTATTTTGTTACTTAAAAAGAATATTTAGTTTTAAGTAACAACGTTTATAAATAAATAATTTATTTTTATTTATCGATTTAATAATAATTTATTTTATGTGAATTAATTCCCGGAATCTTTTCCTGTAATTTACATTCCTATTTAATTAAATAATTTGAGGTACTATTTATAATTAGGTACTTATTATTTCTGATTATAAATTATATATTAATCCTGACTGTAAGTATTTCGTGATTTATTTTCCATTCGCATTAATTTAGATCGTTAATTGATCGTCCGGCGAAGCCCCTGGCATTTTTATTAATTTTGGTAATTTTTAGATAAAATTACCTGGCGTCCTTTTCGTGCACTAACCCAGCCTGAGGAGTTTCAGGTTCATTTTATTATTATTCAAAAAGGGCGAGCGTAAGAACTTTACCCAGCCGGTATCTCCGCCTCCGGTGGAAATTTATTTAAATTTTCGGGGACAGTTTAGTTACAAGATTACAAGAAAACAGAAAAAAATAAAAAAAGTTGAACTAGGGAAAAATAAATTACGGAAAAGTTAAATAAAAATTTTTTCACAAAACGGCGACTGCCTGAAAAAAAAAAATATATAGTAAAAATATTGATATTAGGAAGGTCAAGTTCAAATATGAGCTTAATCGGTCATATAGTTTAGAAATTACACCAGTTCAAAATTTTGAAAATTTTAAAAAATTTGATACTTTCACTACTTTTTCTTCAAATAACTTTTGAACGCGTCGAGTTATTCAATTTCTGTAAAATGCATTTGAAAGCTGAGAATTTAAGCTTCAATTTATGTGCTCAAAATTTTTTTCTGAAGCAAAAAAAATTCATCTTAGGATCATTTTTAAGAAATTATACTCTTGCAGTCGTTTTGTCTATATAAAACTGACTGAAAAGTACTGAAGTACAATAATTCTTCTCTTTCTTCATTAAACGTTATTTTTTTTTGTTTTTAATCCTAGTAGTTTTTAATTTTATTCATCATGAAATCTACTTCCATTTCGGCTGCCGAATGGCCTTTTTTTTACGGCACTTCAAAATATTACCTGTAATTCATGTTTCTAGACTAGAATACCCCTTTAACAGTTTACATGAATAATTTTTAGCTTTCGCGTATTGTTGATCCATATTTAATATTATGGTAAAAAAAAATATTGTAAAAAACCATTGTATAGTTAATTAACCACAAATGTGATAATCCTAATATAAAATTGAGATGAAATGTATGTGGCATCAAACTATTCGTAACGTGATTGGTCGAATATATCATAAGCATGAAAATATATGCAAATTCTATAGTCAATAATAAATAAATATTCTCATTCTGATTGGTTGAAAGTGAATATAATATACATAAACGACACATAAATATATCATGACAATAAATATGAGGCGCGCGCTTGCGCGCGTAAGTTAAATTCTAGTACTGTTAAAAAAAAAACTTAACAAATAAAATAAATAAGACAGGTAAATAAAAAGACATAAAATGACTTAATTACTTTACTAAAGATCAAGATCCATACATAAGACGTAAAAAAAATGTTACAATTACTTATATAACATATAAATATCTGTAAGTATAATTACAATTTTTAGGATAAGGAGTACTGGGATTTTTTTTTTTTCAATTTTTATTATATAAATTATATTTAATTATTTTATTTTTGACAACTAAAAACTTTAAACACAATTCATTATTTTAAAACATATTAATAATACTAAAGTTATCTGAAATTTTTAATTTTTTTTTTATTTATTAAATTACAACCAAAAAAAATTTCTTAATAGTTCTACTTATAATTTCTAAAGTTATTTACAAATAAAAATTTTTTATTTTTTTGCAACAATTATTTCAATAAAAAAAAATAAATTTCTAAATGTCGGCTAACTCAAAAAGTTAACACGTGTTAAGTGGGCTATAAAGCGCGCCAAACTGAAAACGCTTTAAATTTAAATCTTATGTCATGGCGGTCTCGCGCATGCGTGTTACTTTCACAACACGTAAATTTACACAACTAAACATCATGGCATGTTAAACATAACCTTTGATAAGTAGTACTTGTTAATTATTCTTTTAATTTATTTGAGTAATAAAAATTGAATAATTATTGACTTTTTAAATTAAATAAAAAGTAAAAAAATATATTTTAAAAATAACAATAGTTTTTGCAAATCTTCTACATGTCAAATTTTTCTAATAATTTTTTAATAAAAAAAATTACAACTAATAATTTTTTCTGAATTTAAATATTAATAAAAGTAAAAATTTGAAATAGTGAAGTAATATTAAATACAAAAAAGAAATAAAAGTAAAAGAGAGCTTGAAAGATATTTTGTCATATTCTCTACAGTTGACAGAGGTATTAGTATAAAGTTTAATATTTATTAATCTATGTCCCAAGTAACATGTGCTTGAGCAAGATTTTGGTGCCAGCGTCTTGAGCAAAACCTCTAGTTGCTAGTGTCTTTTTCTACATATGGGTCTTGCTCAAGTTTATTTAAAAAGACATGGTTCAAGATTTATATGTAACTAGCTCAAGACATCTTGTGCAAGAATATGAGACAAGTCTAAAGCAAGGTGCATTGAAAAACTTTCTTACGCATTTTTTGTACCAGAAACTCACAACAAAGACTTACCCATGACTTGCTCAAGATCTGTAATTCTCAGAAATCCACTGATTCTATAGTAAATATAGGAGGGGTAGAATGATGCGAACGGTCATTTAAAAACATTTCATCTTGAGCAAATCTTGAGCAACTCTTGCACAAGTATATTTAGCATGCTTCTGGTGTCAGTCTTTCTCAAGACTTGAGCTATAATCTGGCCCAAAGTTCTTGTACAAGGCTTGTGAATTGAATTTGCTACAAGTATCTGGAGCAAGACCCATAGGTAGAAAAAGACACTAACAACTATCGAAATTGAGACCAGATTTGCTCAAGCCTTGAAAAAGTTTGCTATATGGGGTATTTATTTATTATTATTATTTACAGTAAAGAAGATATAAAATGGATTGTTTAACCGCTAGAAAAGAGATCTAGTCAAATACTTATAAGAGAAATTACGCCTTCGGGCTTAATCGTTAAAACTCGAGAATAATCGTATGAACTCGGGAATAATCGTATCACGCTATGGCCGTCGCACATGCGCGCCTTGGTTAGCGGTAGAGAAACCGGCTCGCGTGATCTGATGCAACAGTTGTGCTTGGACTTCTGTACTAGTACGACTACTCTGTGCTAATCAATTTGATAATTCTTACTTGCATCTCACATTCATTCAAATATTTAAATTATTCATTAAATATAAATAATTATAGTAGATTCAATTATACTTTAAATTCTTAATTCATTTAAATCAGTTTAATAGTTCAGTGAATTAACATAAATAAAATCAAGTAAATTTATTTAGTGACGCCACGCGGCCATTACGCGCCACCGTGACAAGGGATTGCATCAGCCACGCGGCTTTAGTCAATCCATAATTGACGCGTGATATTAACCATTAATTACATTGAATTAATTATTAACATTCAATTACGATCTTATTTAATTTAACTTATAAATAATTAAATTCCAACTTCAAATCATTTGACTAATTTCTACACGAAATTATCAGACTCAATTGACTAACATTCTGTTATCAATTGAATATTATTAGCTCTCGCCTTGAGACTATTTATTTAACTAATTAAACATTAGTAGCTCTCACCTTGAGACAATTCATCTAATTAATTGAACATTATTAGCTCTCGCCTTGAGACAGTTCATCTAATTAATTAGATATTACTAGCTCCCGCCTTGGGACAGTACAAATTCAAATTATCGATAATTTTCTTTATACGGCGGCTGAGCTCACCCCTATTGCGTTATTGCAACGTAATTTACACACACACACTTACACACATACAACTTACGTGTATAATTTTCATCAAGGAGGTTTTTCCCAGCCTAGCTGGGTTTTCCTCCTTTAGGGACAAATAAATTCTTCTAAATTGTTCCCCAAAAAACCCAAGTATTATTATTTAATTTCCTAATCCAAACTTTATCATATAATTTAAAACAATTACGGGAATTATCCGCATTAGATAGTTTTCGACAAAACAATTATAATCAATTAATTCGTAATGAAGCACATTCAATTTTTTATTTTTTAGTTTAACTTTTTTTTTTTAATCGTACATTTATTTTTTTTTGTCACGGTTACCGTTGTGTTGGTTATAATGTTGCTATGGTTACGTTATTTATTTACATAAACAATTATTTCTCAACTAATTAAGTCGTGGTTAACTCGTTTTATTCCTTAATTTACGTTATTTTTAAATATTAATGACTCTTTGGGCTCTTGTCCTCTGGTGTGGTTCACATGAACGTGATATTTTAAATTACGATTCTATTAAATTTAAGAAGGATGGTGATGCTTCAGCTAAATGGAGAAACAAATTTTATTCTGTTAAAGTTCTACGTATAAGTGGTGAGTCAATTAATTTATTATGGGATCATTTTAACACATAGTTCAATTTTTATATTAATTTATTTATTTTTGGTCTGTTTTTCCGTAATTTTTTTTTATTCCTCTGCTTTACTTACTCAACTCTTGATAGTTGTATTATTTACAGAGTAAATAATTCGTTGTTTTTTTATCTTCTCTTATGGTTTTTTTTGTTAATTTTGCATCATATTGTAATTAGAGGATAAGCAGTGGCTGGAGTCTCTGGTTGTTGATACTGATGGAAATGTGACTTTACCCGATGCTCCCAATGAGTTTCATGAAAAGAAGAAGCATGAAAAAAGTTTAGCTGTTGCTGACTTACAAACTGCAACAAAAGCCCTCAATGCCAGCAAATCCCGAGAAAACAATTCAATCACTCGTACTAAAAACATCCTCCAAGATATCACTTTGGGGACCAATGCAAGTAATCTTCACAATTCAGATGACGAGGATATTTTAGCAGATCGTGGTTACTCACCAGCCCAAGAAGTGAAAGTAGTTAACCCCAATAATGGATCAAAATCACGGATGGTCCGGGCTAAAATTGAGTATGACAAAAAAAATGAGAATTCCCCATTTGTATGTCAAGTTTGTAAAACGTCGCCAGAAGGTACAATTTTCAAGTATTATTATTTAATTTCCTAATCCCAACTTTATCATATAATTTAAAAACAATTACGGGAATTATCCGCATTGGATAGTTTTCGACAAAACATGGATCCTGAATTAAATCCAACAACAGCTGGCTACTCACTGATGTATCAAGCCATCGAAGATCACAAATTGGAAGATGTTAAATTGTTATTAGAAAATGGAATGGATGTAAATGAACCGATAATAACAACTGGAGAATTTTCTGGATTCACAGCATTGCATGTTCACGGAAAAAATGAAACCCGACTGGTTCGTTTTCTGCACCAGACTCAGTCGTGTGCAAGAAAAAATGGAAGAAAAATTAGTAAACTAATTCTAGTGCAGCACAGGACTCAATCATGTGCTACACTACACTCATTCGGGTGCGCACACGACTCAGTCTGGAGTAAACTAATTTTTCTTGCACACGACTGAGTCTGGTGCAGAAAACGAACCAGTCGGGTTTCATTTTTTCCGTGTTGCATGCATGAAAAATGAATATCATTTGGTGGAGTTACTGGTTAATGAATATAGAGCAGATGTCAATGCAATTGCTGCTGACGGGACTCAACCCATTCATTTGGCTTGTTTTTATCTACCACTAGACGAAGCACGTGACTTTATTTTCAGAGGAGAACTAGGCATTCAAAAAATAAAAATATTGGTGAAAGCTAATGCAAATGTTGATGTTGAATTTGGGCAAGAAATTTTTTCAAAGCATGTCAAAAACAGAGAATGGTGTCCCGATTTTGGTGACAAAATGCCACTAGCTGCATATGCTGTTATTTATGATAAACCATCAATAATTCATCATCTCAAAAAAGTCAACTTAGACATTAGAAGCCTTACAAATAAAACATTGCTGATATACGCTGTTGAAAATACGTGTTATGAATATACTTCAATTATTATGTCAAATGTTGAAGATCCTGAATTGATGGATAAGTTGATAAACCACCGCGATAATGATGATGTACCACTAACTCATGATTCCATTCATCCTAAGGAATTTGGAAAATTTCAATATGATGATGATGATATTTCGGCGTTCGATAATATATTTATGAACTCAACATTTATTTATCTCTTAACAAGTTGGGGGGCTGACAAGTTTGCACTGATAAACAATAATCCAGCAACATTTTTGCCTAATCTATCAGCTTACAGAGGTTGTCCAATGCTATTGCAGTATTTTTTGCCTTACTATACTTGTATGTCGTTACCTCGAGTTTTATACTACGCCACGCTTCCTTTAGATGAAGAGTCTGAGCATTTAATATGTTTTGATTCTGAAGCTTGGCGAGATACTTTTCTACGACAAATCAGAAGTAATCGAGAAGGTTGTATAGAAATAGCCCTAAGAGATCTGGTCTTTAGGCGTGTATTCAGATTGCCTGTTCCAAAAGAAGAAATAAAATTGATGGATGAATTAATTGCCAGCGACGAAAATCTTAGGGAATTTGTCGATAATTTTAAAAGAAATTTCATTGAAAAAGAATTACAGGAATGTTTTATTGAAATCGGTGATAATAAAATCACAGTGTATGATTTAGTAATGCAAGTTTTTGACTGTAAAAAATTAAAATCATTGGCGCGAAAAGAGAATTTACTTAATGCCCTGGATGCTCTGGATAATGCTGGACGTCAGAGTGATGATTTCTATCGTTTTTATGAAGCCTATCAACTTCCAATTAAAACCAGGATAGAAAATGCTAGGGAAAGATTGAGATCTCTCGAAAATTTGAAGAAAATTTCATCACTTAGAGAAGCTATACCGTTACCTTTTGAACTGATATTAGATATTGTTGAGTATTTAAATAACAAACAGTTGAATGTATTTATACAAGCATTTTATGCTTCGTAATTTTATATTGAAACCAGTTTTCGTTTTTTAGTTTTAAATAGAAAATTTATTTTTCATTTATTAACAGTTTACATTAATTTTTAGCTTTCGCTAATTTATAATGAATATTATATTTTATGGTTATAAAAAGTTACTGTAAATAACAATTGCATAGTTAATTGACCACAACTGTAATAATGGAATGAAGAAGAAATATAATACTTGTAGTAAAAAAATAAAGTTTTTTATTTTTTTTTAATTGTATTTATGTAATCATTAAAAATAACAAGTTTTGCTTCAGCACCTAGTTAAAAAATTATAAAATAATATTCTTAGTTACAGCGTTACAAAATTTAATTTTTCATCTTTTGATAAAAAATCCTGTGAAAAAAAGGCCTATATTGCAAGAGGCCCAGGAAAATTCCTATAATTACTCTGGGGTCCAGGTATATTAAAAAGATTAAATAGATAAATGGAAGTTTTGTTATACGTAAGCAATCTCACTTATACTTAAAATAAGGAATACTCAAGTAATGACAAAAAAACATTGGAGAAAAGGATTTATTTTAATCCAAAAGATTTTAGAGTAACTTAATTACAAAATTTAAGTTTTGAGACAAAATTTCTAAATAAATTTTAACAATGCTTTTTTTAAAATAATTTTTAGATGATAAAAAATTAAATAGTAAAACACAAATGAACTTTACGAATATGAAGCAAATAAAAAATAGAACTTGATAGTTGAACAATTTAAAATAAACATATATTAAACAATGAAATTCTAAAATAATACAATAAAATAATGAATTTATACAACGATAAAAAAAGAAATATTTCTACAATTAATTAATTAAACTCAACATACATAAGAGATTGAAATACATATTTATCCATACGTTTTGAATAAATAATTTAATGTTAAACAGTACACATGTAAGGCCTATATTGCAAGAGGCCCAGGAAAATTCCTATAATTACTCTGGGGTCCAGGTATATTAAAAAGATTAAATAGATAAATGGAAGTTTTGTTATACGTAAGCAATCTCACTTATACTTAAAATAAGGAATACTCAAGTAATGACAAAAAAACATTGGAGAAAAGGATTTATTTTAATCCAAAAGATTTTAGAGTAACTTAATTACAAAATTTAAGTTTTGAGACAAAATTTCTAAATAAATTTTAACAATGCTTTTTTTAAAATAATTTTTAGATGATAAAAAATTAAATAGTAAAACACAAATGAACTTTACGAATATGAAGCAAATAAAAAATAGAACTTGATAGTTGAACAATTTAAAATAAACATATATTAAACAATGAAATTCTAAAATAATACAATAAAATAATGAATTTATACAACGATAAAAAAAGAAATATTTCTACAATTAATTAATTAAACTCAACATACATAAGAGATTGAAATACATATTTATCCATACGTTTTGAATAAATAATTTAATGTTAAACAGTACACATGTATGTCTTCGTCTATTCGTAAACGCGCTTACGTATACACAAATGCATAGATGAATAATAGAACATTAGAGTAAGTGAGAAAATGATATTGCACTCTGACCCAAGTAGAGAGGACTCATGCAAAATTTGTCGACAACTTGAAAGAAAAGGTAAGGGCTCAAGAAAATAGAAAAATAGTAAGCCTTTGTTATCTCTCAATTAGTGAGGATTGGTAACGCCCTAAAATTCGATACCTTTACGATTTTCATCAAAAATCATTCTCGTTGTCCTGACGTCCTAGTGTTAACATCGTCTAAAGTTTTACTAAGTTTTTGAAACCACGTGTAGAAGTAAAATTAAATAGTTTTGTAGAGTGTATTTAAGTTACGTAAAGAAAAAATTTAAACAAGCCAACGAAAAATATCAACAAATCAGGTATAATTTGAGTTATTAATTTGTGAATTTAGTTATATTGAAAGCTCGTTATATGAAAGAGAATATAAACCTTGAATCACTGTGTAATAATTGTAATTTAACTAATAATATTAATTTTGAGTTTGAACAATATATGTATTGAAATTATACAACTAGATCAAATCATTCAAACGAACTAATCATTTTTAATAAATTAAAACTTGGAAGTTCCCGGTCTATTAGCCTAACACGCTAGGGCCGAATACTTAAAAACACATAAATATTTAAAATGTAAAATTAATTTTTTTTTTTTTACATAACAGTGTAATGAATAGTGCTTGTTTGTTTTTATTTTTTAATTTATTTGAGTAGTAAAAATTTAAATATTTTTTTTTTTTTAATTATATTAGAACTGAAAAGATATTTCTAAAAAATTACAATGGTGTTTGCAAATTTTTTACATGGAAAATTGTTCTAATAATTTTTTTAATAGAAAAAAAATTTCAACTACTAATTTTTTCTAAATTTAAATATTAATAACAGTAAAAATTTGAAATAGTGAAGTCATATTAAATACAAAAAAGAAATAAAAGTAATAGAGAGCTTGTAAGATATTTTGTGTCAGATTATCCACAGTTGACAAAGGTATCAGTATAAATTTTAATATTTAATAACATATATTTATCTATTATTATTATTACTACAGAAAAGAAGATATAAAATGGATCCTGAATTAAATCCAACAACAGCTAACAACTCACTGATGTATCGAGCCATCGAAGAAGACAACTTGGAAAATCTTAAATTGTTATTAGAAAAAGGATTTAATGTAAACGAACCTATAATAACAAGTGGAGAATTTGCTGGATTCACAGCATTGCATGTTGCATGCATGAAATATAAAGATCACTTGGTGGAGTTACTAGTTAATAATTATAAAGCAGATGTCAATGCAATGGCTGCTGACGGGACTCAACCCATTCATTTGGCTTGTTTTTATGACCGACAACACGGTTCAGGGTACGAACCTGACGAACAATATGTAAGCAGAAAAATAAAAACATTGGTGAATGCTAATGTTAATGTTAATGCCGAATTCGGACAAGAAATTTTTTCAAAGCACGTCAAATACAGAGAATGGTGTCCCGATTTTGGTGACAAAATGCCACTTGTTGCTTATACTGTTATTTATGATGAACCATTTATAATTAAACATCTCAAAAAAGTCAACTTAGACATTATAATCCTTACAAATAAAACATTGTTTATGTACGCTGCTGAAAACCATTGTTATGATTATATTTCAACCATTGCGTCAAATATTGCCCTAGCGGTTTCGACGACTCAGCGTAAACTCGGAGTTTACGCGGAGTTACTGTGGAGTATACGCCTTCTCGGAGTTTAATCGGAGTATAAGCGGAGTTTACGCGGAGTTTTAGAGGTGTATGCAAGGAGTATCGTGTGCAGTTACGACACGGAGTCAGAAAAGTGTATTATTAGAGTTTTCGAAAAGTTTTCGACGAATTTTTTCGGAGTCGCTATGGAGTTTACCTCGCGTTTTTGTTGGATATTTTCGGAGTTGCAGTGGAGTTTTTTTGGCGTTTTCGTCGAGTTTTTGTGGAGTATTTTCAGAGTAGCTAGGGAGTTTTTGTCGAGTTTTTTTCGATGTTTTGCGGAGCTTTATAAGAGTTTCGTTGGTGTTTTTTCGGAGTTTTGGTAGTGTTCTTATGGAGTTTACTCGCGATTAATAATTCTTCATGGGATGAAAATTAGATTTCACAAAGATGACTATAAATAAATCATTTTTCAATAACGGTGTAGTTTTTATTAATTAATTTATTTATTTACAAGTTTAAATATATTTATCTACATAGAATATGTTATTCAATAAATATATTATGAAGTTTATAAGTAAAATATACGATACATAAAAAAATGACATCATAAAAAAATTGTCATAAGTTTACAGTTGATCCACTGAAACAATATTATCATAATTTAAATTAGAATTTTATCAATACATAAAGTGATTCAAAACTTTAATCGGTTTCCGTAAGATAGACAGTTTTGTTTATTACTGCAGGTCTTATTAGGTGACTGAATAGTAGCTACGGACAATGTCTCAGCTAGCTTGACCGCTTGAGTCCTTGACTTGTTATGGAACTCGGTCCGGGTTCGAGTCCCGGTCTGTCCGAATTATTTTTTTCGGTTTTTCATTCATTATCCATCAGAAAACTCCGATAAAACTCGCAAAATACTCTTGGAAAGCTCCACAAAAACTCGGTGGAGACGCCGACTAAACTTGACAGAAAATCCGAAAAAACACCGATAAAACTCGGGGAAAACTTCATGAGAACACCAGCGGAATTCCAACCAAACAACGTAACGATCCCAATTAATCACCAATTAACCACTATCGTCTTCATGTGTCACAACTGCACACAATACTCTGAGTTTACTCCCCATATACGCCGACTATACTCCGTCGTTACGCTGAGTTTCGGACGAGTTTCTACAGAGTTCTATCGGTGGTACTGAAACCGCTAGGGTAGGGATTCTGAATTGTTGGATAAGTTAATAAACCACCGCGATAATGATGATGTACCGCTAACTCATTATCCATTCCATCCTAAAAAATATGGAAAATTTCGATACCATTGCAAAACGTTATTGTGGTTCTATACTGACTATACTTATTCAAAATTTCTTTCTGACGTATCAAGTTGGGGAGCTGACATGTACGCACTGATAAACAATACACCACTCCCCCCTGAGAATCAGGTAGGCGGTGTTCGGTAGAATGCGAATACCTGATTTTTCTGAAGATTTATTTTGACTTTCTTCGTTGGATAGGTTCGCAGAGTCGGTGAAAAGGTAGTTTGCACCGGTTGTAGTCCTGGAATGAACGTCTTTGGAGTTGGTGGATCCTTATTGCTAGTCGTCGTAGTCATTGGTCTATGAACTTCGACTGGTACGATTAGGTTCCCAGTGGCAGGTTGTTCAGAGGTTTCTGGTGCCGGTTCTGGATCCTGTGGTTCCTGCGACTCTGGTAACTCTGCAGTTTCCATGTGAGCTGGTTTCAGGCGTTCAACGTTGACAACTGTATCTCTTCCATTGACGTTGATGCTAAAAGTACGATCGTCAATACGTTTATTTACGAAGTGTGGTCCTGAGTAAGGTTGCTCTAAAGGGCGTTTGACAGCATCGATTCTTAGGAAGACGTGGGTACACGTTGACAAGTCTTTATAGCAAAAAGCTTTCCTTTTGCAATGATGAGCTGCGGGAGCTGGCTTAACGTCTCTCATATGGACTCTAAAATCTTCTAGGAAAAACTGAGGGTCATCTGGAGGATCTTCGTGTGTAAAAAATTCTCCTGGTATCCTGAGGTTTGTACCGTAGAGAAATTCGGCTGGTGAAGCCTTGAGTTCCTCCTTGTAGCAGGATCTCAGTCCTAATAAGACTGTCGGAAGCACTTTAGTCCATTGAGGATTCTCGTGGCACATAATTGCGGCCTTCATTGTCCTGTGCCAACGCTCGATGAGTCCATTAGCTGCTGGATGGTAAGCCGTGGTGCGAACACGTTTTCCTCCGACTAAGTTGAGTAGTGCCTGGTATAGAGCGCTTTCAAATTGAGATCCCTGGTCAGTGGTGACCAACTTGGGGCAACCAAACCGAGCGATCCAATGATTATAGAAAGCGGTAGCTACCGTTTCCGCGGTGATGTCCTTGATGGGGATAGCTTCTGGCCATCTAGTGAATCTATCAACCATGGTTAAGCAATATTGAAATCCTTCGGATTCAGGCATTGGACCAACTAAATCAATGTGTACATGATCTAGTCTTGCGTCAGGGTTTGTGAAAGCAGCAGGCTGTGTGTGCACATGACGACCGACTTTTGATTTTTGACACTGAAGACAATTTTTGGCCCATTTGGTAATGTCTTTATTCATCGAAGGCCAAATGTACCTCTGTGCGATAATTTTATTTGTTACTCGGCCGCTAGGATGAGACAAATTATGAAATGTGTCGAAAATCTGGCGACGAAGGCTCACTGGTACAAAAGGTCGTATGTCATTTGCAGAGACATCACAATATATTGCCTGGTGATCTGGTCCAAAGGTTAGTTTTTGTAGTTTGAGCGATGTGTTCTGATCGCTGATCAGCTGTGCTAACTCGATGTCGTTTGTCTGAGCTCGGGCTAACTCTTCGAAATTTATAGCTGTTGGCAGTCTGATCCAGCCACATTTTTGCCCCATCTTATAGCTCACAAAGGTATTGTAAACCTACTGATTACATCTTTGCCTTATTATACTATGACCTCACGTAGGGTTTTATACTACGCTACGCAACCTATAGATGAACAATCTTAGCATTTATTCGACACGTATCCAAGAACGGATCCATTAGATTATCTAGGATCATTCAAGATGTATCGAGGATTTTGTATAAAAATTGCTTTAAAAGATCTGGTCTTTAGGGGTTTATTCAGATTACCCGTTCCAGAAGAAGAAATAAAATTGATGAATGAATTAATTGCCAGTGATGAAAATCTCAGAAAAATTGTAAATGATTACAAAAAAAATTTAATTGAGTTACAGGACCATTTTATTGAATTTGGTGATTATAAAATGACAAGTTTTGATTTTATAATGCTAGTTTTTGACGATAAAAAAGTAAAATTTTTAGCAAGAAACGAGAATTTATGGGTTGCCGTGTATATGGAAATTTTCCCGCGTCACATGTATTCAGGTAACTTTTCTCCCTTTCGTATCCATTATGATCAAATTAGAATCAGGATAGAAGATATTGAGGAAAGATTAAGACATCTCAAAAATTTGAAGAAAATTTCATCACTTAGAAAAGCCATACCGTTACCGTTTGAACTGGTATTAGATATTGTTGAGTACCTAAATAACAGACACTTGAAATTATTTATAAGAGCATTTTATAGTTCGGAATTTTAGATTGAAACAAGTTTTAGTGTTTTAGTTTAAAAAAAATTTATTTTATAATTTAATATCCAAAATAAGTGATGAGTAGCTGTCACTATAGTAAATAACGACTTTTTCATCTTAAAAAATTACAGTTTCAAACAGTAAAAATTGCCATTTCAAATACTATTGGTATGCCTAACTTGCATAAAGTCACGGTTACCGAAGATTTGCCGAAGTTTAGGTTGCCAAACTTGGGCGTAGCTTGGAACAACTACGGCAGACCAAAGTTTGACATACTCTTGGTATGCCTAACTTGCATGAACTCAAGGTTACCGAAGATTTGCCTAAGTTTGGGTTGCCAAACTTGGGCGGAACTTGAAAAAACTACGGCAGTGCCGAACTTCGGCTTGCCTATAGTGCAATTAATATGGCGTAAATTAGGCTTGCCAAAGTTCGGAAAGCCAAACTTGCCCCGAATTGATTGTTCGGCTATGCCTCACAAAATTTCTCGTCGGGCGATAAGTCATCTCTCGTAGTAGAACATTGTACCTATAAAAATCGAAAAGCTGTTACTCGTTCGAACTAATAGATAACAGCTATCTTCATAAGTAACCAAATTGTCTTCGTGCTCGAATTTATACTTAATTAATATAGTGTACCGTTTCTCACCATCAATAATCTGCACTTGAGCTTTCTCTACTTCCGTCGCAATTAATTTGTAACCCTTCCAACGTCCTGATTGCGCAATCCATCTGTAATGCGTTAATTTTTGTACATCAGGATCATTATTATCTAACTTCGATTCGTAAGTTTTAGCGATTTGGGAGTTTTCGGTGAAGATAACGCTCAAGTAGAACAATTATAACATTGATAATACAACAAATATTCTATCGTTCATATTTAATATGAGTTTTGGTACTTGAACAATCAGAAATCAACTGAAAAATTCTTGTTTCTTATTAATTTATCGATTTAAAAATTCAATACACGTTATTTTATGACAAAAAACAAAGACTACTTGTATTTTTTTAAGATAAGAGTATATTTCAAAAAAATATTGTAAAGTCGTTTAGCGCGTTGTTGACGATCTAAGTGAGTCATATATCACGTGACTGTAATTAATAGCATAGACAAGTGAAAAAACTCTCAACAATTGATAAGCGATATATAAAATAATCTAATAAATAAATCAATTCTTACTGAAATTGAAATTATGGCCGACTAAACTTGAATAAATTACTTTTCAAAACTCATTTTATGTAATAAGAAATGAAATTAAATATGAAATTAATGCAGTAGATATAAAAAATATCATTTCAACTAATAATAATACTAGAGTAAAAATATTTTTATAAAAGTTCATACTGAAAATGACTTTAACTAGTGATTAATTGCAACTTTTAATCGTTTGACCGAATTTTGACAAAAAATTTTTGTCACAAATGAACACTCAAATAAAGCGATTTTTGTCATAAAACAATTTTCTTATGCTAATTCTTCACTAAAAAAATACTTGCACAGTAAGTCTTATTGACGTAAAATTGCAGAGTAACTTAGAGGCAACTTAACTAAAACCGTTGGCTTTGCCAACTCTTTCCATCAAGTTGACTACAAATTTCGGCAGTAGATTGACGGCAAGTTTCAATTAAGGGTGGCTATCAGAGTATTGAGCATGAAATATATAGATGAATTAAAGTGAAAATCATTTGACTATTCGCCCATAAAAGCATCCACTGCTGATTAAGGACCGTTCATCGGTGAGTCGGTAATTCCGTATTTTTATACTTGCCAATCGTGTTATCGATTAACTGAAGCGTATATAAATATAACATAAATTTTTCAAATAATAATACGTAATGTATTTTATCTGGAAAAATTTCGTTATTCTTCCACAGTACGGAAATCCGATGATTGGTTCATATCATATCAGAATTAAAAGTAAAAAATAATAAATTCATAACAATATATTATTAGTTTAGAAAGTTATAAAAAACTTTATTAATTAAAAATTAAAACATTTTCAAAAAAATACAATATCATATTTCAAAACACACCTAAAACATTTCTCCATTAAAATTATCCATCATTTAGTAATACTATTTACAAAATATACACAAAGAAAATTTTTTTTCAGAATTGCGTGGAATGTGCTCATACAAGTCTATAAAATATACCAAAAAAAAAAAAAAAAAAAAAATTAAAAAAAATATTTTAGTGAAGTTTCGCAACATTCTTTTCAAGATTATTCAATTCCGTAGAAATAGCCACCGGAAGATCTTTACCCACTTGAGCGTCGAAATATTCTTTCAGTTCTTTGACTTCTTTTTCCCAAAAATCTTTGGGTAATTTGAATAACTCCTCCAAATTGATGTCTTTCAAACCTTCGGTATTAAGTGTTCCATCTTTTGGAATGAAGCCGATGGCTGAATCACGGGCAATATCTTCGCCTTCTACTCGACGCAAGATCCAATCAAGAACTCGAGAATTTTCACCAAAGCCTGGCCATAAGAATCGTTTGCTTGCGTCTTTTCTAAACCAATTTACATGGAAGATATCTGGCAGCTTGGCGTCTTTTACCTGTTCCATACTAAGCCAATGTTGGAGATAGTGCCCAAAGTTGTAGCCAAAGAAAGGTCGCATAGCGAATGGATCGTGCATTATAACTTTAGCCTGCAAGATAAAAGAAAATAGAACAATCATTAATCATTTCATTCTTACAAAAATTGATGAGATCATCAGAATCAAAACTTACTTTATATTCAGCAGCTGCAGTAGCTTCAGATCTCATAGACGCTCCAATAAAGACGCCATGTTGCCAATCCCGTGCTTGATAAACAAGTGGAACGCCTTCAGGTCTGCGTCCTCCGAAAAGAATGGCATCGATGGGAACCCCCTCAGGATCTTCCCAAGCTGGATCGATGATCGGGCATTGATTTGCTGGTGTGCAGAACCGAGAGTTTGGATGAGCGGCCGGAGTTTTTGAGTCACGGGACCACGGATTTCCGTGCCAATCAGTAATTCCAATATCCTTGTCAATTTCATTCTCCAGCCCTTCCCAGAAGACTCCACCGTCACTGGTCCGAGCCACATTGGTGAATAATGTGTTCTTGAAGATAGTCTTCATCGCGTTTGGATTGGTGGCACTTGCTGTACCAGGAGCGACTCCGAAAAATCCGTTCTCAGGGTTGATAGCCCGTAAACGTCCTTGTTTGTCGAATCTCATCCAAGCAATATCATCTCCAACACACTCTATTTTGTAACCTGGCAAAGTCGGCTGCATCATTGCGAGATTCGTTTTTCCGCAGGCACTTGGGAACGCTGCAGCAATGTATCGCTTCACGCCTTTTGGATTTGTGATTCCTAAAATCTAGATTTGCATCAAGGTTGACATTAAAACAATATAATACCGATGAAATATTAAAACTTTTCATGGATTTAGGAAGCTATTATATACCAGCATATGTTCAGCAAGCCAGCCCTCTTTTTTAGCAATCGTGGAGCCGATTCTGAGAGCAAAGCATTTTTTGCCCAACAAAGAGTTGCCTCCGTACCCGCTTCCATAGGAAACAATTTCATTTTTGGCTGGTTTGTGGAGAATTATCGTTCTCTCGGGATCGCAGGGCCAGGAAGCCTTCATTTCGACTTTTGAATCAGCACTAGGAACCCCCACGGAATGCAAACATTTAACAAAGTCGCTCTTGTCAAGAACATCAAGGACTCGGGAACCCATGCGAGTCATGATTCTCATTGAACAAACAACGTACGCTGAGTCAGTGATTTCTATTCCTATTTTGGAAAGTGGTGACCCAACTGGTCCCATGCTGAATGGAATTACGTACATGGTACGGCCTAGACCAAAGTATATATAATTATTATCGAGAGTTAATCATGAGTCGTGCACTAATGAAAATATTAAATTGGTTTAAAAATAAAATTGAAAACCAAGAAAATCATTTTGGGAAATTTTATTTCCTTGAATTAAGCAGAAAAGTTCTTGAACTAAAAAAGTTTTAATAATTGTTTGAAAGTGGCGTTCACCATTTTCAATCCATTTTAAAGCTTTAATGTTAAAAAAAGTTTCACTTTAACCAAAGATTTTTTTTTTAATGAATTACTTAAAAAATGTGTGAATGGCCAAAAACATTTCAAATAGTATTTCTATGACAATAATGTTTTTCAAAAAATAATTTTCTTAGTTAAAAATTCAGGGATTTTACGGTTCTGACGGCGCCATGGTTAGAAGGTGGATTTGTATAGATCTCGATAAAACAAAATAAAACGAAAAGTAAAAATGAAATTTTTCAATATCTTGCTTAGTTTCAATACCTCAAAAAAATGGAAATTTTCTGGCTTTATCTAAATATTTTTGAAATTAAAAAAAAAAAAGAAAAAATTAGACGTGAAACTTTTGCTATGAAAAATCCGAAAAACACGTTTTTGTTTTTTTGTAAAAAATCCGAAAAACAACGTGACCTGGAACGGAGCTTCGTGGCACCGTAAGAACCGTAGTATTGCCGAAAATTCTTTCTTTTGAATCAAATTAATCTTTTCGTTAATGTAGCCAATAATTTTTTTTATATATGTCTTAGAGTTCTAACCTTTCATACAACTCGGAAATCGTTGAGCAACAGCCTCATCCATACCATTAGGACTAATCCAATTTCCAAGAGTTCCCGTGACTCCTTCCCTGGGAGTTGGGATCGTTTCGTTTTTCGTTTCAGTGCTGATAAACGTGCGGCTTTCTACACGAGCAACATCTGCTGGATTCGTTCGCGCTAACCAACTAAAAATTGAGGTTATTGAAAGAAGCAATTGAAAATGGTTAAAAATGGAATTTTTGGTTACATACCAGTTTTCGTATTTCGGCAGAGGTTCAATAGATCCGTTGGTTTGCAGCAACTTGAGCATTATTTCGTTTTCTTGATCGCTACCGTCGCAGATGTAGATAGCGTCAGGCTTACAAAGTTTGGCGCATTCTTCAATATAAGCCAGTACTTTTGGTGCAAGAGGTAGTGTCAACTCGGAGATAATTGGCACGCCCGATATTTTATAATTTGAGCTCTTACTTTCGGTCACTTGAGTCGCCATCAGGCTTGTTACCCTAAAACAAAACATTGTCAACATTGAAGCTGTCGTTTTAAAAAAAAAAAAAAAAAAAAAAAGAGCGAAATCTCACATTGTATTATATTATACAACACAAGCGTCTTTATCGTTAACGAAGTTATCTAATATTAAACTAAATATGACAAGTGAATTTAAAATCGTTAATTGCAGCAAAACTAGATTGTAGAACTGGTCTATTAAACTTTCTTGAGTAATGGCTAAAACTGAAAAGAGACTGAACCGGATTTTAGCTCTCGCTTATTCTATCGGTCAAGAGAAAGTCAAATAGCTTTATTCTATGAATAAACTTGAAAATTTCAAAGTCAATGTAAAATATTTAGCTAAATTGTATTTTCAAAATATTTATTATTATTACACAAACACAAAAAATTAACTCGACTAAAAAAAAAAAAGTCTTTGACAAAAAAAATCATCTTGAAGAATTTTATTATCTTTAATGAAGTAGAAAAATTTTTAGGCTAGATTAAATTTTGTTATTTAAGAAAAGTTTTTTGAAGAAAATTTTTTTGTTCAATTCAATACTTCAAAAAAAAAATTCACGAGCCAATAAAATAAATGAGGAAGATTAAAATAGTCTGAGCCTAAGCACAATTCTCTTTTGCCCAAAAATATTATTTTAGTCAAAAATTGATTTTTTTGTAGAAAAAATTCTTTAAATTGTTTTCTTGATTGAAAATTTTTTGTTCTAAGTGAAATCCTTTTATTTTTTTATGTACTTAATTCATGGTTATATAATTGATTAGTAAAAGTGAAGTAAAATTACTTACTGGGGGTAAAATTTGTCCACGCAGTAAGGCATCTTGTATAATTTGTTAGATTTAACAGAAACACGATAAGTGAAAATGGAAAATCTCGATGATTTGATAGCAGGTTTTCCAACAACGAAATTTGTAATCCGTAGAAACTTATGATATTCCACAGAATTGTTATGTAGAGTAGAAAAAGTACGTGTTAACTTGTCAGGTTCTAGCAGACATCTAGTTCCTTTGATAATTACTGATTGTCTGGCAACGTTCCACCCGTGTGTCGTCATCTTAGCAATCGTTTTCTGGCCTTTTATATGCTCTCTGATGAAACAGTCTAAATGATCGGAGTCCAAGGGTCGTGGGGTTTTTCTTGTGTGCTAACGTTTTCCGGAAATTTACAAATAAAACTTGTTGTTATTTCTTTTTTTTGTACTTACTCACGTCCAGCAACAGCTGAGTGAGGATGTTGATTGTTGATCATTGATCATTGATTCAATCCAGTCTTACATCATTAACATGAGCGCACTTTAGTTTTATTGTTGATCTGATCTGATCTGAATAAAACAACAAAAGTAAACAAACAAACTATTTGCTATAAATGGAAGATTTTAATTTGACACCGGGTGATCTCCGAGTTTCAAAGCTCGCACGGTTGTTAGCTGAAAGTAAAAGTTACTGTCTTATAAAGGTTTAATCAACTGCGAAGTTGTAAATAAGTTGTGACTGCATGCCCTGGTTTTATACAAAAGCCGTTGGCCCCCTCGTGCTCTTCTATTTTTACCGGCATCCCGAACCACACCGCACCGACGATGTTGCATCCACTTGTTTCGATATCTTGTCGCAAAGCTCTCTCTTTATTTAATGCACTTGAGAAAATTAAAACTTGTCGCTGTTGTTTATTATACTTATAATTAGTAATAATCATTATGGCCAAATTTAAAAATAAATTTTTGTTATTGTTGCATTAATTTGCTTATTTTTTGTTCGAACAATGACTGCAACATAAATTTCTTTACAAGTCGAGATAATCATTCAATATTTTTTTAATTTTGATGATTATGATTAATATACTAATTTTTCTACGCACGTAAGGAGTTGATAAAAAATATTTTTTATTTAGATTTATTGTATCAAGAAAATAAAAAAAACATGGTTATTGTTTTTGTCTATTTATTATTTTGAAGATGAAAAATTTTTTTCTGTTTAATCAAGTCGAAAACATATTTTTAATCGTGAATACAATGTTCGCTGGTTAAAAATATATTTTGCTAATCGAAATAAATGTCTGGAGTAAATTATAGAAAATACGTAATGATTGCGTATCAAAATATTGCATCATTATTTGAAGTATTTATTAAAGATCAAGTGTAAAAATTTATTAGCGCAATTTTCAATTAACCGACGTCATTAATTGTTAATTAAAAAAAAAAAAAAAAGGTAAAAATACTAATCTTTTAAATTCAACCGTCAAGGACTATTTTCGAATAAAAATTTTGAGTCAAAATTACTAATTAAATAAAAACTTTTATTTGTTGATTATTTAGATAATTCTTTAATTTAATTTTTAGTCTTTAAGGATCTGACATGTAAATACAGTGAGGGTCATGCTGATATCTACAAATTCTATGTGAACGCTTAGGGGTTCATTGATTATATTCACAGAGTCCATAGTCCAATTAATGTCTAGAGTCTGAAACTGATAATTCTGATTTTTTTTATTTATTAATTTTTTTGAGATAAAAAATTTTTAGTGAAAGAATACGCGATAGTTACTGTATCAATCATTCTGTCATTATCCTCCAAGTTTTTTAAAGCTGTAAATATTTATGTAAGGAATTTCGTTTAAATTGTATTTATTTACCGCGAAATATAACGAGCTTATCGTGTACAACTAGAGAATTTTTAGAATCGTAATATTTTGTTACTTATTTTATTGAATATTTGATAAATATGATTTTAAAAAATTTGATTTTGCGATTCTTGAGATAGAAGATAGTCATTTTAGATTTTAAGTAGAACAGATTATTTTCAATAAAACCAATAAAGTTTTTGATAACGTAAATTATAAATAGGCTATATTAAAAATGATTTCATCAGCTTCAACTGGCTTTGAAGAGATAATGAACAATTTTTTTTTTTAATTCATTCGAAACGATTTAATTGTAATTTTCAGGGAAAAATTTTTCTTATTCGGCCTGATATGGTCATATATGTTCATACATCGTTTTTTGACCAAAGGTGAACTTTTGTACACCAATACTGTAATATTAAAATTTCCGTTGAAAATTCACATAGATCGCCTGATATAGGCATATGTAACCAGATCATGTCATATATAGTCAAATACGAAAATTGGCAATGTATGGCCATACACAGGGAAAAAATTGTATTAAAAATTATAATAATAATATCGTAATGCAGGACCAAACTTTCAATATGGTCACTTGAAATAACCGTAGTGAAAGTCTGATGCTGGATTACGATGTTACTATTGTAATTTTTCCTGTGTATCAGAAAAATTTTTCATGTGTTATTTTAAAGTAGATTATTACTTCTTAACTTCATAAAATTGCTAAAAACTACGAAGCAAAAATTTTTTTGGTCTAATTGAGTAATTATAAAACAATAATTTAATTATTAAATTTTTTAATTACAATTAATTATTTATAATTAAAGTTACGAAATTTCTAAAATCTAAGTCTAAGTTCTGAAACACTGCGAAAAAATAATTGAAGTATTATTCAAGAAAAAAACTCTATCCACATTTACAAGATGGAATTCCCGAAAAAGGTATACCTATACTATTACTATAGTAAATAAATAAATCGCTGTTTAAATTTGCAAAGAAAAAGAAATAATTAAATTTCAAAAATCATGGTAATTTTACTAAATGTATACTATTATCTATAGAGCCATATTACAAGATATCAAAGTTTCAAAAATTATTAGCAGTGCACTACACGTCATGAATTGATTTAACTCTTCTTGGATAATACTTGAAGGTACTTTTCACATTACTTATAATTGAAATATGATTGGGTATTACTTAAACGAAGAATATAACCTTTACTTTTTAACGAGTCAAATAAAAAATATGATCATTTGGATGATGAAATATATATGAAATATTATGTCTTTTGATTGAAAACTTTATAATGCCCGCACTAAGTTCGCCCACAATAATTTCTTAACTTTGTATTATATCGATATTAGTTTGTAAGTTACCATACATAAACCAGTTTTAACCAGTTTTTTATGCTTTCCGATCAAGTTTGAATGTGTGTCGCAAAATTTTTGATAAGAGTTGTCATTAATACAAGTGTAGTAGGCACGTAAGAGGGGTTAATTAAACCACTGGACCTGAAAAATTGGTGAAAATAAAAAAATGAATTATCCTTGCAGAATTATATTTTAATACGTAATGTTCTGATTTGCTCAAAATTTGGAATTATTATTTTATAATTATTTATTTTTGAAAAATTGAAATTTTTGAGTATAACTATGTAAATTTTCTTCCAACTCTCGACAAAAAATTTAGTATTGTTCGAATTTTTAAATGTATAGTCATGAATTTTTGTTATATAGTGATTTCGGATTAGATATATTTCATATTTCCTGCAATAGTTGTTAGCTAAACAACTTGTTAATAATAAGTTATTGAATAAATTATAAAAAAAAAAAAATATTATTCGTTGATTAATATACATAATAAAAATGTTAAAGTCGATATCATACCACTTTGTTATAAAAAAAAAGTTATTTTTTTTTTAATTTAACTCAAACAAAAATTATTAAAGAATCCGAAGACACGATAGTGTCTCGCGCCAAGTACACGTCCAACATATGGCGTGAGACAACGTGTCTTTATTCTCTAATCATATGTCAACATAACCTCTTTACATATTTAGCTCTATATTTTTTATTATTACTAAGACACTAACACTTTACACCATTGTTAATAAGTTTCTTTTTACCAATTATACATATATTACAAAAAAATGTTGGGTCTTAACAATTATTTAACTAATCGCGAGTTTGAAAATTTTTACTTGCGCCTGTTTTCAATTCTACGAGAGATTTTACAAATTTAGGGCGAATTTTATTATTTCAAAGTTGGCACTACTTAACTCTGTTATTCTACCATCTAAATAGCTAGTATACTAAATACTGAACTTAGCGCCCATAAGTAGTTGGTCTTTAGTTTAGAATTCCAATATACGACAGTAGGTGGAGCCACAAAACCATTACCACTGTATTTTAGAAGCACATTGGTCAGTCACGCGCATCATCTAAAGTAAAAATATTGTAATAACTTCGTTTGTAATTAAATTATTACAAAAATCCATGAATAATGAATTAGCTGCATAACTTAAAAAGTACATATTTGGAATTTAAAAATGCTGATAAAATATTTGAATATATTAAGGGATATAATCAAATATTTTATCAGCATTTTTAAATTCCAAATATGTACTTTTTAAGTTATGCAGCCAATTCATTATTCATGAATTTTTGTAATAATTTAATTACAAACAAAGTTATTACAATATTTTTACTTTAAATGATGCGCGTGACTGACCAATATGCTTCTAAAATACAGTGGTAATGGTTTTGTGGCTCCACCTACCGTCGTATATTGAAATTCTAAACTAAAGACCAACTACGTATGGGCACTAAGTTCAGTATTTAGTATACTAGCTATTTAGACGGTAGAATAACAGAGTTAAGTAGTGCCAACTTCGAAATAATAAAATTCACCCTAAATTTGTAAAATCTCTCGTAGAATCGAAAACAGGCGCAAGTAAAAATTTTCAAACTCGCGATTAATTAAATAATTGTTAAGACCCAACATTTTTTTGTAACATATGTATAATTGGTAAAAAGAAACTTATTAACAATGGTGTAAAGTGTTAGTGTCTTAGTAATAATAAAAAATATAGAGCTAAATATGTAAAGAGGTTATGTTGACATATGATTAGAGAATATTTTTTGTGGGATTTTTTATTCTTTTAATCCTTTTAATCCCTTTCAAAAAAATAATTTATTTATAATTTCGATATATTTATTCATCCACTATTAGAATTAATGATAATAAAATTGTCTCTCATTGGAAAAAAGTAAGGGGTCAAAAAAATGTTGATAATTTTTTAATTAAGAAAAATAATGTTAAGAAAAAATTTTTATCTTAATAAATATTTGTAGTTAGATTTTATTTAATAAAAGAACTTAATGTAATTTTTAAAAAAATATTTAACATAAAAAATACATTTTTATTCAATTCGAAAATTCTTTAAGAAAAATATTGTTTCAATTTTTTTTTCTAAAACTTAGATACCTACGACAA